TCTTTCTTCCTGTTGGGTTTTTGTTGTTTTTTTTTTTTCTTTTTTCTTTAAAACCAGGATTACGAGTTTCCCCAGAGAGGAGGTGGGATTCGCTGAGGACACGGAGAACAGCAACAGGTCACCTGGGTGCCATGTGATGTTTTCTTACAAAAATAGGAAAACCCAAACCGCCAGTGGGGTGATTTAAGACCACATTGAGGAGATCATGTGCCTGGCTGCACAGCAGCGGGCACCAACTTCCATTGCAGGGCTCTGCAGGGGATTTTTCTCCCAGTCCAGTCCCACCAGTGATGGAGAAGATGCGCTGGGATGTCTGCATCTCAGGGAGGTCCTGCTGGGAAGTCACTGGTGGGGTTTCGGGGGAAGTTGGGGGTGATTTGCAGAGTGTGGAGCAGTGGGCACCAGACTGCCATGGAAAGGACTAATAACGCCGGTGGAACAGGATAGTGTGAACAGAAGTTATGTTTCCTCTACTGGTGCTCTCTGGAGTTGCCCCTGCAGCACCCAGGTCTTGTGCTGGGTGGTGTAAAATCTGGGCAGGGATCCTGGAGGACACAGCCAAAGGGTGAAAGACCTGCTCTTGGCAAAAGCACATCCCAGCTTCATGCCTTTGCTGAGACAGGAGCCTGCACGGCACGGATGGCGCAGAGTGAGAGATTGCATGGCCCCCTTTGCCTCCTGCCCCCCCATCTGGGAAACCTGTAGGACGTGTCCATCTCTGTGCCATGAGCTAAGGGGGTCCCTGTCCCGCCTGGCCCCATTTGCAGCGGCTGCCTCCTCCCCTGCCTGCGGTGGGAGCTCATGCAATGGTATTCGACCCTCCACTGGGGTGGGCACAGGGGCTTTGGAGGGGACCTGTTGCCTCAGCCTGTTCAGTGTCTGACAGCAGGGCAATATTTAACTTTCTGCACCTGAGAGCACCTCAGAGGGGTTTCAGCTCCTCCAGACGGCTTTAATGGGCACTGGGGAGCCCCTTGCGTGGCTGAGTCCCCTTTTTGGGGCTGACTGAGGGGTCTTAGAGCAGACACCCATCCCTGAAGCTGAGCCCTGAACCACAGAGGTGTTTTCCCAACGCACTCTACCCCAAGACCCTAAATCATCACCCAAAATAGGAGCCGCAGCCTCCTGTCACTTCGGTATTTTTTTCCAGGGCAGGAAATAAATTCACCCGCAAAAGGGGAAGTTCAGTCCAAACAGCTCCAACAGCTGCTGAAAAAGGGGATTTCCAGGCCAGGGTCTGGGGGCTGCACCCATGGAGCCTTGCTTGGGAGCGAGGGGCTTGGGGCAGCTGGGGCAGGGCATGAGCATCTCCACAAGCTGGACAATGTCACCCACTGTGGCACTGGGCAGCAGTGATGCTGAGGCAGGCCATCAGTTCCAGAAAATTTTGGTAAGTCAGGAAATAAGTGTATTTACAGACTGCCAAGAATGGTGCCCAGAGGTCTGTGTCCAGGTGGGAGTGCATGGACATCTCCACAGCCCCACCATCCCCATGCCGGGTGCGAGCTCAGTTTCACCAACCATCACATCTTCTTGGTGGCTCAGCCCAGGTCCCCCAGCTTCGCTGCTCCGGTACCATCCCTCCTGTCTCAGCCCAGACACACACAAGCATTGAAGGCAGCAACCCTGCCTTGTAATATTTAAAACAATTTTATTCATGAAAATATGCTGTACAATGCACTATACACAGTTCTTTACATTGCCACATACACAAACTCTAATAGCACGATCAAGAAAGTTACCATTGCCTACGATAGATGTGTGGTGAGAGATGACGCCTGTCAGAGACCCTCCCCCCCAGTCTGTACAGTTATAAATACGTGGGAAAGGACGGACCGAAAACCACCATAGGAAGCAAACCGGCTGGTGGGGCCCCTTCGGAGTCCCCTCGACACTGGCTCCTCGCTCCAGGCAGGGCTGGGGCTGGGCAGGAGCGGGGCGGAGGGGACGGGGAGGGAGAGGGGGTGATGGAGCTGGGAGGCTGGAGCCCAGCCAGGTGGGACGTGAGGTGGCCTGTGCTCGGGGACCTTTTTCCAGGGAGGGAACCCGGAGCCTCTGCCACCACCGGACAGTGAAATGAAGCCCTGGCTTCCCCTTCCCCGCACTCGCAGCGCTGCCGGCAGCAGGGCGGTGGGGGCCAT